TAAAAACCATGGGTTTCCAAACAGCTCAGCTGCACTGGTAATCATCGAAGCTTGCTATTCTGAAAAGGTTAAATGTCTTTTAGCTCACAAACATCAGCATTTCTGAGAAGTAATTCCATTCCAATTTTATCTTTTAGCTAGTTAATTAACCGAGGAGAAAACAAAATGTGAAATATTGAAATCCTACCAATGAATATTTCTACAAAAAAAGTCAAATAAATAGAAAAGAGCATGATGACACAAACCTACTAAGGAGCAAAGAATAAAGTAATATAAATACTTAAATATTTAAAACTATAGATAATTATTTGGAGTTGTGTATATTTGCTTTTAAAATATGAAATACTCTTTTAACTGCCTTTTGTTAGCAAGTAGTATTAAATGTTTAATCAAGATCACATGGTTTATTCAGGCTCTGGAAACATTCATACATCTCCAAAACAAATTCATGTAGGGCTTGGTCTACGATGATAACTGTGAGAGCTAGTTTATTTTTATAGACTGTTGCTAAAGCACTGGTGGACTAAAAATAAATTCTGTCAAACAATGATACTGTATTCTCAATCTATAACAAACAAATAGTTTCCATAGATCACCCAAAGCAGGAGAGTGAAAATGAACTGTTAATTTTGAGAAATAATAAATAAGTGCTTGGTAAAGATAAAATTCAGAAATGTCTACAGCTGTTAAGACACTGGGCAGGGGCGGGGCTTAGGGGAAGGCATGAATGTTTTAACAGCCTTTATTTCAAATTATATACAACATAGATGTAATGTTCACTCCTTTGAAATTTACTAGATTGGCTACAGAAATTTTCTTTGTGGCAATTTTCAAGAGACTATGTGTCCTCCATGAATTTTAACTCTCTAACTTTCAACTTGAGTGCTTTTATGAATAAACACATTTCATTTGCTCTGCTGTTCTGAAGGTCAGTGCTTATATGCCAAGTGTTGTTAACTTAGCCGTTCTTGGGATATCAAACACAACCCTACAACGATCTCTATTGAATGGTCTCTACTTAGGTCTTAACTTAGCTCTCACTTGTGATTTAACATTACTTGAAGTAAAGCCTCCTTTGTGAGCTTTTGTTCAGTGTGACCAGTTTTACTATTTAAATTTCGATTATGGCTTCTCTAGAATGTTTTCACTGTGCAGTTTTACAAGGTTAAATGTGAGCACCTGAAATGCTGCATCTTAGCTGCGTTAGATCTTTCTTACTCTTCCAACTATAAGTTGTTGTCAAGTTGAGCTTTCTTCTCTTAATGTGAGGACAGATATTGCAGCCTACTGGTATAGGCATATTTTTATGCCTTGCTTTGTATTCACCTGCCTTGTGTCTTCTCAACTCAGAATCTCCACCATAGTTCCAGATGCTATGGAACTTCCCAGATACAGTACTATTCCATCAGGTCTCAATTGCCTGGGGAGTTTTTAGCAGGGCATAAGGCAACAGCATCTTCATATTTTCATTCCACCACATTTCTATAATTTTGAATTTGTTCTGTCTCACTGCTGGGGCAAACCCAGATTGTTTTGGGCTCTGTTGCCTCTCCAAAACACATTACACTTATTCAAAGAGACACATATCTTTTCATTTATCATCCTTATCTAGCACCATGATGATTTTACTTTTTGTTCTTATGTTCTGTCACAGGGATAACCTGTATCCCATTCTTTCCTGGAAATGGAGATATCTGTTGTACATGTCTTCAAAAGATGCCCCTGTTCAAGTCTGTGTATTTCTCAGCTCCTGCCATTTTTTTCCCCAGAAGTTAGTTAAAAAATAATTAAAAAAAAAAATACTCCCACTTTGCTTTTGGAGACAGGACACCAGTCCCTGTGTGTAGACACTCCATCTTCCCCAAAGAATCCACAGTGACTAATGAACTTAAATCTGCCCTTCAGATATGCTGAAAGCCTGAATTCTATTTTTCTAGGTTGAACTTCCAAACTGGAATAGTATTTCTGAGAAAACTACTATTAAGTCACCAGAACTACTGGTTTTGTACAGTAATGGCACAGAAAACAACAGACGGACATTAATTTTATGGCAACAGACCACTGAAAATGCAATTATATTTTATATACTATTTTAAATTAATCCTCAACTATAAGTGATGATCAAAGCAAAGCATCAATTAAGAATTCTATTTATGGAACACTCATAAGTCTATTAGTTACTTGAATGATCCTGACAGCCCATAGCTGTTTAAATGTGGCTTTACCAACGGAGAAAGGTATGGTCTATGCAACATGCATCATAATGGATTAAGTATACTGCAGAGATTTGCTAAGTTTCTCACAGTTCAAGTGAGACAGGTCAGTTTCTCAGCTGTTCCTAACCTTATTACCAGCTGCACAAACCATTTGTGGCCATTTCACATCCATGGTCCACTAAACTCTTGTAGCCATTGCTTTTCTTCGTCCTCCATTGAGAAGAAACAGAAAAGACACTGAAATTCTCTGGGTGCTAACACTGAAAATACTAGAAACTGCAGAAAGAGAGGCATTTCTGCGGCTGAAGCTGTAACAAAGATGAATGAAGGGAAACTATTCATTAAAAGGCTAGAAAAGCCCACCATTATTTTAAACAGTTACTATGTACAACACGCTGTTTATCAAGAGATTAGACGGATTCCTACTTTGTACAGAGCTCTGTAATGTGATGAGAATCACATGTAGGCATTGTTAAAATGGCACTTAAAGGGCATCCATATGATAGGCTAGATATTCTGAAAAGAGCAATTTTCTGTGCCTTGTAGTCACTAGTTCCAGGCAGAAGGCACCGCACTAGGAAATTCTGAAAAACAATGAAGCTCCTCAATGTATTTTGTCTCTATTAAAGGTCCAGTTCTTTCAAATTGAGTGGCTTTTCAGAATTAAAGTGGTTATAAATCACATATGGAAGACCATTTTTATTAGAAGATGTTAAGAGCAAGATCTTATTTTGGCAGCAGCAGTGAAGACAAAGGGCACAGGCAAGCCTTGGAAAAACTCCCTCAGCTAAGCCTGCCCAGCACTTCCTACTGTAACATCATCTTTTCAGTTCTTAGAACTTTACCAAGCTATAATTGCTCAGACTAAAATTTTCCATGCTGGACTTTTGCCAATTTTGAGAGACATTTTTCAGAGGTTTTTTTTGCCTCTTCCAAGAAAGAGGCTAGAGAAAAAGCATACTGCTCTTTACAGATTACTGAATTCCACTGACCTTTCCAACAGCTTGAGAGCACTAGCACGTCAGAACGGGTGGGTGACCAAGTACAACTTTTTGCCAACCCTGGGAAAACCCTCCTGAACTTGGCCAAGTACAAGTGTTTGTACATACTGCTAATTTATGTATGTAGAAGAGATTTGGATTTTAGCAAGTCACTGATGACTCTATCCAAACACTATGCGGGAGTGAGGGAAAGTCATGCACGGGGGCCATAAATGACTAGAGGCAGACTGAAAGTGAAAGATGCACAAAGAAAGAGCCAACATTAAAGCAGAATCGGTAAGTGCCACTTGGGCACACAAACTGGGGTACAAAAGGCAGTAAACAGTAAAGGCTGGCTGGTAAATTGGAGAGGTGGAGAAGCAACAGCAGGAGCTTCATCTAAGAGAAAATGCAGGAGGGGCAACAAGCCAAGTCTGCACATTCCCGTGAAGAACTGGAATGAAACCCAAAATTGTTGTCTTGCAGACAAATGGTGAGACTCAGTATTTGCAGACCTGTAAGTAATACATCCTATTTCCCTGTGGACGACAGAGAAGATAACTACATACTACCCTGCTAAAGTAATACTCCTAATTCAGAGGTCTGTTGCATTGGAAGTTATCCATCTTGATAAAGAACATCTGTTTTTTTCCAATATATTTTTTAAAAAAACCCTAAAAATTTAGAAGTAATAAAACAAAGTTAAAGAAAAATCAAATACTGGAAAACCAAGTGCTTCAAGTCTTTTTAATTTTATTTAGGCTTTTCTGTGCATGTCTTTTATCAGGGATTTTTGAAGACACAATCACATACTACTACTTCCATTAAATCCCTGGGTTTTTTTCCAGGAAACACTCTGAAAGTAAGTTAGTGCATGAAAAGGAAATTCATTCTGCAGACCTCTGCTGCAGAATTTAGAATATGTGTAATGGAGGAGGTAGGAGTTGAAGAACAGGAAAGATGATCCTACAGATGATGCAGATAAATGCTGCACTTGAAAACTGGTTTTATGCCTGCTACTGATACAATTCTTTGGGGATGCCAGGACATCTGGGTAACTATCCTAAGACCACAGGATACTGTCAATCTGCAAAAATACTTTGCAGATGAACTAAGGATATGTTTGCTATATGAAGTGCTATTAGAGATGGTAATATGAGAAAAGAAATTGATTAGGTTAATGCCTCCGAATGAGTGCCAAAAATGAGTGGTTACATTTGTCTTCTTCCTATGACTCAGCTCAGCTGAGTAGAAAATACCATTATCTTCTCAGTCAGTTGTGAAATTAAATTATTTTGTAAAGAACTAAATGGAGAAACACCATTCTTTGAATGTAGCTGTCCAGGTCTTAAAATTACTTGATACAGTTTGTGGTAGTTCTCTTTTAATGTCTTTACTTATACCTATGAAGTTCCAGGAGAGCAAGCAACTGACAAAGCTGGCAGTTGGGGGAACACCAAGAACCTCGTGGTTCAGATTACACAGTCGTCACTCTTGCACCTTTTCCAAAGATTTTTGTCCTTTGAAGTTGCATCACATCTAGACGTGGCACTTAGGAAATGGTTTAGTGGTGGACTTGGCAATGCTAGGTTAATGGTTGGACCTGAAGATCTTAAAGGTCTCTTCCAACCTAACCATTCTATGATTCTATGACCCAAGTGCATCTCAGTCTTCTACCACCTTTCTACTGTCTCACTGCTTCACAGTCAGAGGCAAAACACCCTCACTCCCAACCCAGAGAAGAACAAGCCAGTAATATTTAGGAGACAAAACCACATAGGACTGATATTCAGTTAGTCCTTACCTCATTTGGTGGAACAACAGCAAAAGGCTGGATGACAGCTGCCAGTGGAATGCGAGCCTGTTTGGCCATATCTGAAGATGATGGAAAGCAGTAGGTAGTACATCGGACATAACGAGGGCTGGCATGGCCTAGAACACCCAACACAGCATGCAGAATGAAAGACTGTTAAAAGGAACCCGCCTGTCCCAAACACAAACCAGAAAAATCAAAACACAACCACAAAGCAACAAGTGCACATGCTAAGTTAAACACATGCTTTTTTGCCTCCCATGCAAACTTCTGCCGATCTGTCCTCTTTATGTGTCAGTACATTGCCTGTCCCTGTGGGTAAATCTCTTCACGCTGTTTGAGTTTAAAGCAGAGATTTAAACTTGAAGAAAAAAAACCCACAATTATTTGCAATACAAATCTCAATTGAGATTAGTTTGAAATGTATCACATCTAAGATCTTAAAAGGAAAAAATATGGATGAAATCCCCAGGGGGAATGTCAACACTGTATATAATGAAATGCTGCAAACTGACACCTACTGTCAAGACCATTTCAACAAGCTAGCTGATTCAGAAAATGGTATACCTGTGTTAGCATCACGATGCTCATTTACCTTGAAAAATACAGTGTGCTAAAATCACTACACCACTCCTTGTAGCACACTTAGCTCCATCCCCTCAATGAGAAACTGTGTTGTGCACTGTAGACAAGAGCACTGAAAGGCAACAGGAGTTCAGAAATTGGCTTCCTTATGCTCCTTTTTTAACCACAGCTCTGCTCAGTTTCATGAAAGGAATTTCTTTGTTCATCAGAACTGCATTACCCCATTCTCAGATAATGCCAAAAAATCTCGATGTGTTTGTACATTTTACACAGTTCATCCAAGCACTGATAAATTAATGCTGGACTAAGTGACACCATCAGTTTAATCTGTATTAAAATATCAAGAATGCTGTAAAAAGTAGCACATGGAATATGGTACTTCCAAGGCTCTAGGCAGAGGCAAAGGTAGATACACCGGCCAAAGTAAAACGTCAACTAGAAGCTTGTATTCTGCCCCTATAGCTTGAACAGAATCTTCCAAAATTCTTATCTTAAAACATAACGGTGCTAGTCTCATTGCTGCTTCTAGTGTCCATCTTTCAAAATTTCAGAAGACTCCGAAGGGGATTTTCAACTTGAAATTTAAAACCTTGAGAAGTTTTAATTCAAAAAGAAAGGTTGCCTCAACTACTCATATTATTTTAAAGGTCAGGAAGGGTAGAGGAGGTGGAGGCATGGTGGTCTCAAGGCATCTACTGGAATTAACCCAAGGTGTAAGAATTCAACTCCCGCTTCTCCCTCCTACCCTTTAATTTACCTAGAAAAGGCTACCAAAGCAGTAACAAGGACAGTTACCTTGGTCTTGGATTATGCAGTCTGTGGTGACAAGAGGAGGAACCTGTCCTCTTGTATTTGTAGCATAGATCTGCCCTCCCCTAGAAGCCTTATCATTTTCAATTACTTGAATCTGATGAATAAGAAGCAAGAACAGTATGAGAAAGGTAAGACATTCATTCAGCTCCATTCATAAACAGCTATGCTAACATCTACACCACTGTTGACATTGTCTTATGCAGAGGTGGCATAAACCTATCACAACACTGGCTTCTGGGAAGTATTACCTATTGATATATACAGTGAGCAAGTGAGTTGTTTACAGTAAGTATATCAACTGCTAGGAGAACAGACCTTTTCAAGAGCGGCTAACCAGCAAATTGAGGAATGAGTGAAGTCCTTGTTACTGAATCTGGCCTTCCATTCTCCCTGATCAAACTGAAGTGCAAGGTTGCATCACCTTACTCAGATACCATATATACCAGGTTATTTTTTGCATGACCATAGTTATGCCAGCTGCTGTTCTTCATAAATGAATGCACAGGTAATTGATCAGATTGCAATGGTGGGAGGCGTTAGCCCTCATTCCTCCTGACTAGGCTCCACACACAAGGTAGTTAAGAAATAAGCAATCTACATAGTATACCACCTTCCTAGCTGAGCTATATTTCAGCACTGCCATTTAGAAAGCAGCAATTTAAACTCCTGAGAAAAGCCTTGTTGGCCACTAAGTAGTATTTCAACACTGTAGCTCAGGGTTTTCAATCTCTAGGTCAGACTACCATGTTGTGAGCTTCCTCCTAGAAAGGAAGTACAGGAGAGCAATCACAGAAAACTTTTATTAAAGTGAGGTAGCTCTGAACATGTACAGATTTACTTTGCTTGGAGTCTAGTTTATAGCAATTTATAAGGTAATGTCACAAAATGCTCATGAAGCTGGCTTTACTACTGAACAAATTTCTTTCCCATGCACTTCCTCCCCTGTCACTTCTGCACAGTCCCTCACCCCTGTTTATGCCTGATACTTCTCAGGATATAACTGAAGTTATATAAAGATGTATTTTGTTCCATGCCATAAGATGGATCACTACGATGGTATCATTATTCCTCCTCTTCCCTCAAAAAAGCTATCTTTGCAGCAGTCTGGTTCAGAGCATAGCCAGACAGCTGTGAAAGGCAAGAGGAACGAGACAGGGAATTTCGGAAACTGGCTTTGACACTTGCTGCTGATATCTCATGGAATTGTATCTTTACACTGCACATGAATTTCTAATAATAACTAGGCAAGTTCAGAAGCCTCTGTCAGAAAGCAAACAGAAGAAAACCAAAATTAGTTGCATAGAGTCTTCTGATCATTGTCCAAGAGGTATTTCCTAACATGCTGGAAATAATCTGGGGCCTGTAACTATTTTTTCTACAAAGTTTCTGTACTGCAATTTAAATATATAATTTAAATATATATACATTCCTCAGAGATCTTGTTATATCTTTTGCTTGATTACTTTTCCCTGTCTCCTTGACTTGTATACTTATTGTTAACTCTTGCAATAGAAGGAAAAAGGTTTTGCTCTAAAAATGTCCACTGGCTGAAGAAAGCAAACCACTTTCAGACTTAGCTCTGCAAAAGATCAATGTACCATGGTATTCTGCAGTTAACTGACCTAAATATATCATTGTTCTTGGAAACAGTTGTTAACAAAGCCCAGATGCTAGTTTTCATAGATGTATCAATGTCTAACATATGAAGAAAATATAAATCAACAATGGCTACAGATAAGAAGTAAATTTATCTGGCAACACTACTGTAATTATATAATGTAAATATAACAGGAGAAACATGGTCATACTTATTCCTCATTCTGAATTAGCTTTTTGCCCTTTACAGACGTTGACCCAGATCATGTTTCTTTTAAACATGTCATTTTGATCCTCTCTGTGCTGCTCAAACAAACCTTTTAACCTATTTTAACATTGCCGTCATAGTCAAGGCTGTTTATTCTACATGCGTAATTAAAACAAGACATCAGTCCACGCTTTCATGCCAGACCTCCTTCTCCGCTCTCCCCTTTTAGTTTTAATTAGACAAGACCATATAATCCTTCTTTATGTAAAAAGCACCATACTGAAACACCAGGAATGACTGACCTATCAAAGGCATTTGTTAATGACAGACACTCGCTCAATTTTTTTTTTCCACAATGGTTTTCAGTTACATTTAACTTGAAAATTGCCTTTTTAAAAAGGCAATTGCAGTTGTTATGTTAACCTCTAAATGATTATCAGCAAGCATTTTTGCAAAATTTTGGGGGTTTTACATCCAAACCATCACTGGATTAAAAAAAATAAATCTCTTAAAGAATGACAAAAGAATATTGTAATCTAAGGGGGGCTGCCCCCTACTAGACAGTGTCAGGCTTTTACACAAATGCTTTTCCCTCATCTCAGTGGAACACAAATTCTTTGCTGTACAACAATACTGCTTCAGCAGAGAAGTGGGAGATTCCTTCACCCAGGCTAACTTACAGTGTGGTGGTGAAGTCATTTTTGTAAGTAGAAAGTTCTAGGTCAAAGCTGCAGGACACAGCCTGCTTTGAGAATCCCAACTCTCCAAGGACCTTTTGATCTGTCCTGCCAATTGCCAGAACCAGTATAAGTGTGTGCATCAGAATGTGTTTTCCCTGCGAGTTCAGCACATTTTCTTCATTTCAATCCGCTGTTTTCAATTTAAAAAAAAAAAAAAGAGAAGAATTTAAATGCAGCCTGCACCTGACTAGCTATTCCTTTGAGTAACAATTAGACTATTTAAGAAAGATGGACACAACCATACCCTTGTTTTCTCTGCCTGTAACACCATTGCAAGAAGAACAGACACTGTTCCACCAGTGCACATTCAGGAGTCCTTCAACACCTGAGCCTCTTGAACCTGTATGAAGCTTAAGCATGAAGTATATTCCAAGCTACTGAAATCCTTACAAGGCTGCAGCAACTAGAAGGATACTCAGGCAAATCATTTTAGTTGCCTGGGAAACTCCTGCAATCAGTGGGGTGGCTTTTGAGCACGAGACTTCTCAGCATTTCCAGGATTGTTGTTTTAAAGTTCACACACCTGTATTCTGTACAAATCCTACTTTAGGTGTCTACATGTTACTAAGTCTAGGCCTTCAAACTTTTTGGAGTGAAAAGGAAAGGTGAGTAGCTGCAATGAAATGCAAGTAAACCTTCAGTACTGCTTACTGTCATATTAACCCTGTTGAAAATTCCCCTTGAAGTATTAAAGCAGATGCAATCTGCTCTAAGAGAACCTGCTTTAGCAAAGGGGTTGGACTAGATGATCTCCAGAGGTCCCTTCCAACCCCTACTGTTCTGTGATTCTATTTGGAGTCATGGGTATGACCCATGTTAGCTAAAGTCATAAAGCCTCCTCAGCACTAAAACTAATGTTAGGCACCACTCATTTATCCAAAACTGACAGCACAGAGTACAAAATTGCATGTAATTAAGAAACTGCAAAAACTGGAACATATCTTGTGAACTAAGTCATGTAAGTGCAATTTTGTTACAAAACATACACCAACTAAAATAAATCCAATATTAGCATTTTCATTCCTTTATCTTAAATGCAGCAGAAATTTACTCTCATAAAATATTAATGTCACATTACTTACTGGGCTTGGAATAGAGTCAGGATCAAGTTTCTTCTGCTGTGGACCTGAGAGCTGTGCTGGACCCCCAGGAAAAGCACCAGGATAAGACAGCTGAGATGCTGCCATCTGAGGACCATAGTGACCTGCAGAATTACAAATGACAAGTCACTTAAAGTATTTACTCAGGTAAATGAAACTTTTCCTTCCCTTCTGTTTTCAGCAAGTAAAAGAAATGGATTATTTTGGGTCACACAGACTGTGTTTTAAAGGTAAACATAAACAAGGTATGACAACTTAGGCTCCAAAGGTTTTCAAGTATATACCATGTAGGATGATTAGTAGAGATTACTACAGCTACTCAGAACAGGCCATTTCATTAGTGAGAATCTCTCCCCTAACACAAGTCAGTGCAAACTGGTCTAGGTAGCTGGCTTTTTGGTTGCCAAAATAACTGTTTTACTCCCCTATGTCAGGTGAAACAAAGTACGTTCTTTGTATTCTGCTACAATTCTTTGTCGCTATAGTATTTTTGAAAGCTGCTTAATGACAGGCAGTACTACAAGACAGAGAGCAACCTATACCTTTACAGAGTATAAGAGAAACTCTGTATTTCTATAGTACATTGTGCCTTTACCCATTTACTAACCAAATAATTCTGTTCCAGATACAAATTAATTTCCTTTTTCTTGTTACATTCTCAACAGTGCTGAACTTCTGAGCAAAAGCATAGCCTGCCTTGAACGACTGACAATGTAGATCCTTCCACTCCACAAAAAGAGGATTAAATTTTCATTTTACCAAGTCAGCAGATCATCAACCATGAATGATCACAATTCCACCAGTGATTCTCAGTGCATTTTTTGTTCTCAATTACATCAACATCTCTCCTTACCTTGCTGAGGATGATATCCAGGTCCTGGAGGCTGTCCTGAAAGCTGTTGTAAGTTAGGATTTGGGGGGACAGATCCAGGGATCCCATCTTGTCTGGCCATAGGAGGCAATGATGACTGAGCACAAAGGCCATTAACATTACTTGCTGATGGAGGAACTTGTGATCCAGGTGGTAAAGATATTTGCTGCTGCATTGGTGGTGGTAGTTGTGGACCCTGAAAAGATGTTGGATGCCCAGAAGACATGCCAGAGCTCAGAGTAGTGCTAGGACCTGTGCAAGAAACTGTATGTCAGCTGAGTCAAAAACTGAGTCAGTTAACCTACTAACTCTGTGTAGAAGGTGCTCTGTTTTTGCTCAACACATTAGCAACATATAGGCAATATTGTATCTCATACTGACAAGCTGCCTTAGAGGGATTCTGAATGCCTGCTCACGTAACAAATCTGACCTCATAGTTTAAGTCTGAGCTGATCTGGTCATCCACTTATATTTCTTTTGGCTCTACTTTCAATAAAACCCTGCAGCTAGGGTGGATAGGAAAAGACAGCGAGGCCAGCCTTTGACAATTATTGATTAGAATACACATAAATCACTATTTGCTTTTCAAATAATGTTTAATTTCATGATGTGAAAACACATTATTTTTGCTTAATAATCAATGTCTCTTATGTGGCATGTTTTTCTTAGGCTGCTGTTTGCATTTCACCATGATAGGTTCAATGGAAGATAAATCCACTCATTTTATCTATTTTACAACCATCTTCTGGTTTTAAAAGATGAAACATGTGGGAATTATTTTGTACATGCTGGTGAGCAATAGTTTGTTGTTTATAAGATCCAGATTCCAACTAGAATTAAGACAACCTTGGAAATAGGAGGGTGTTTTGAGACTTACAATCTGTAAATATTTATTACTTTACAAAACCTACATTTTTTTTAGTCAAATTTCTCCCCAAAGACCTATGGCAACGTAATTTTCAAGAAAGCTAAAAGAACAACCAAAATTAAGTTTGGAGCAAAAGGACCAATGTGTTAATACATAAATGTATCTTCTGTCAGACATGCTAACTGAAAAAAAAAAATTCACATGCAAAATGCAAGCACAGGTTCTCAGCTGACAGAAACAAGCACCACTTCAGTAGCTTTACAAGCTGTGAATTTCAGCACTGTCAAGTTACACCAACTTAGACTAAGGAAAAATCAGAAGAATAAAACCCAGCAGAGAGGCAGAGTTGTAAAAAAATCCATGTCTCCAGTGGTTTGAATCACAGAATCTTAGGAGTTGGAAGG